GGTGTTTATATCGCAACTTCATGTTTCAAGTTGTTCCAGTATTTCAGCCCTTGAAAGGTGTGCTGTTGAAACTCAAGTAGAAGGTTGATTTTCAACTGCATATCATTCACTCGCGGAAAGTGAGCCCTTTCGTTCTCGAAAGCCTTGGATTTCTCTCGAACCGCTCCCGAATTTTTCTTCCGGTTGCTCATCCACTTTCCGCGAGTTGCAATTATCGGCGAGCACGACGCGAAGGGGGGAGGATCCCGCGAGGAGAGGGTAGGGCGCCGGCGGAGGACGAGAGGGAAGGGGGCGGGCAGTGGACGGGCGACACACGTCGGCGTGCATCCGGCAGGCAGCCCAGCCGAACTCGCGCGAGGGTAATCCAGGCGGCAGGGAGGGTGTGGGCGGGGGTGGGCAAGCGCGTGTTGGCCTCCGCCGCAGCGCGGGGTGGAAGCGAGGTTGCCAGTTCAGGGGTGGAAGCTTTCTGCTTTGGACTGTGGCGTGGTTGACTGGCGGTGGGGGTCTGCGCTTTCCGCCCACCACTACGCAGGGATCTCTAGGCCAACGCTGGGGACTAAGAAGACAGGGGTCGGCGGGGGGTCGAACGCGTGTCCGCTCACCCAGCCTCGAGTTCACGCTCGTTCGCTCGTTAGCGGGCGGGACCAGAAGCGATCTACTGTTTTGAACATTGTACCTGTGATCATGACATTTCTAGGCGGCTTCAGTAATCCAGTACAAAATTTTGTGTGTAAAATTTGCAAATGAAAGTGTTAGGTTGGATTGCAACATAAAAAGTAAAAAATCAGTGATATTTTATAAATTCTGAGGAAAAGTGTTTATTTTAGGCTATATTTCAGTGGTTTTAATGATGAAACAAATCACCACGACTTTACAGTGATATTGGTTTAAATAAACAGATTTCTCAGAATTTATAAAATGTCATTTTTGCCGTTCTGTTTGTCACCCATTCGTATTCTTGTTGAAGTACACTAAGCCCCAAAAATTACCACAACCTAATTTAGTTCATCCCAGTTGAAAATCCCTTCGTAAATCGGAAGAGCGGAGCGGAGGGTCAGGGAGGGGTGGGCTCGGCCGGCCGGCAGTCTGCGGCCGGGGCGACGACCTGACGGATGTCGCCGTTGCCGTCGCGTCCGCCACCGCCGCCGCCTTCGTCGCTAGACCTGTTGTTCTAGATAGTTACCAGAAGCGGCTTTCGCGACGATCCGAAGGGAGTCTTTTTGCGTCTCGCCTCTGCGCGGGAACGGCAGTCGCGTCGTCCGGCCGGCTGGCCGTCTGGCCGGCGAACGAGTCGGCGGCGTCAGGTCGTCGCTGTCCTCCGCGCTCCGACAGACTTCCGGTCTCGTCACACCCTCCTTCCTGTCTCCGCGCGCGGGGCCGCTCGGTTCCCGGGGGCGGCCGTCATTGCCCGGCGAGTACGTAGCCAGTCGGCCCAACATGCAGGAACGGCGGCGTCTGGCATGTAGCGATTGTGGTGGGAGCGTAACTTCCGCGGCCGGAGGCACTATTTACTTGGCTTCCTCAGGGTAAAATGCCCTGAGGAAGGTCGCAGAATGGCGGCCGAAACGTTGGCATCTGTGGCTAGGACGCGGCGTCTCCCGGACAACCAAGTAAATACTAACGATTGGCGTCTCATGTGGCTTCCAGTGAAGAACCCATATTATTTTCTTCAATAAGACAATATCTAAAACAGTAAATGTTGGTTGCATGAGCATTTCAGAGTAGACTTCCGTTTGCGAACTCCGCGCAAGAGAACCGATCGGAATCTCCCAGCCTAAATGATTTAAAACTATCCGCTCTAATAATTATTTTTCTGTTAGAATGTAACGTTTCGTTTCAGCCTTATTCAGCTATTCATTTACCTTAAATGAAATTTCAAAAAAAAGAGTCATTTTGTGAAGTCGTAGTAATTCAATAAAAAGAGGATACGTCTGGACGTAGCTGGCTTACTGTACAGTATAACAGTAGACATACATAATCAGTGCTATTTATTGAAAAAAAAAAAACAAAAAAAAAACGAAGGTGTGGAACGCATTACTGAAATGATTCTCTTGAGGTGAGAACTGCGAATTCTTACAAGTGGTCACAGGCGCTCTGCTTCTAACCACGTTACCCTAACCGCATTACCGGCGCTCTAGCAGGAAATAATTGCGCGTGATGGATGGGGCGCAGCCTTCCATTGCGATGGGACCCGGCCGGCCGCCGGCCGCCGAAGCAGGCGCGGGAGGAGAGTGCCTCAGTCACTTCGCATAATTCGATCAAGCGCGCTCCCCTGCTCCCCTCCCTCGCGGCAGCGCGGCCGCCGGGACGGGGAAACAGTTGCTTGATATTTTCCTCTACAGGGCGATTCGGGGGGAAGGCAAAGACAGGCGATGGCCGAATAAAAGTGTTTCCATCGACATAGAATACAATAGAATACGGATCGCTTTGGAGTACAGAGAAAATAAATGTATTACTCCTTGTTATCTGTTTATGATATATTTTTAAATTCCTCATTTTTTGCCACAGTGCAGTTTTGCTTTGTTTATCTTTTGTAAATATCACAAGTCATTACATATATAATATTGAAAATGATTTCAAATCGATAAAATTGCTAAGCATTTGGAAAGCTTGAAATTCGAAAATTGGCTTTCATGAGGCAAAAGTCGGTCTATATTGTTAATGATCGTTACGTGAACAGATCCCTAATTTAAGTTGGTTATCGAGCTATCGTGATAATAGTATATAGACTTTTTACGTGCCCTTATTATAAAAGTGGAATAGAATCTGTAACGTCGACCTATCGCGCGGGTAATTGATGGAATTGCGGAGTATATTATTAAATGAGGGTCCAAGCCCCGGATGATCGTCGTTTGCGGCCGAAGTTTCACGTGCTCGATCGCAGTTCTAGTTGCGCAGTCGCAACGCGGAATCGTTCGAATTTCATTTTCCTGTCGGCTGCGTGCGAACCTTATCTTAATAGCATTCATTTATAGCCTTTAGTGAATGAATTCCGCCGTCGGAAACAAGAAGCGTCTTGGCTACTTAGATCCATTCCAGCACTTGGAGCTCCTTTCATACCTCCCCGGCTTTATTGCTCGCCGTTTCTTTTACGTCGGGCCGCGGTGCGGCGCTGCGCGGCGGTATCCAGTCGACTTGTTGGGTGACCATTGTGTCGGAATACCAATGTGGCGGATTTATGGCACCTTCGCCCCGTCGCCGCCGCCGCCGCCGCCGCCGCCGCCGCCGCCACCGCCGCCGCCGGCCGCTGGCGATCTGCGACGCCGCCAAAGGCCTTGGGGTCGCGACGTACAATCCGCGCGTCGCGTCCTCTAGTGCGCTACCGTCTGCAAAAGACGTAGCGGGAACTGCAGCCGCCGGCCTCGCTCGCGGAACGTCGAAGGAACGTCGTACGTACGAAGGAACGTCGGCGAGGCGGGTTGCTGCAGGCGCAGGGTAACCCGCGGGGCACCGATGTGGTGGGAAAGGCGAAGTCATGGCAGGATGCGAAGTGGGTGGCACGAGCGGAGCAGCACGGCGTGCAGTAATGGGGAGGGCAAGACAGAAAGTAGAGCATAAAGAGAGATACGACAATGTGGCGGGCGAGACGGAGATGTGTTGAAGGCATGTTAAGAGCAAGTGCGTGTGAGAAGGCGAAGAAATAAATAGATTTTCCCCTTGAAACATGGTTTAATAATATCTTCATCTCACTATATTGTTCATGATTTAGAATGTTTCGACCGTTTTGATATTTACAGCATTGGCTCCGTAGTTTGCCATATCCACATTTGCTTCCTACATTCACCTAAATTAATCTAAATGAACTGGTATCCAATCTTTAAATTCGGCATCCGGATTAATCAATTCACCAGTGTAGTTGATTGATTAACCGTATTCAAAAATGTGTTTGTCTGTTGTTGCTCTCTATGGAATTTTATTTTATTAAACGTTTTCTTCTTTATACCACGGCGATATGTTTTTTTTTAAAACGATGCGTTCATTTTATCTTCTAAATACCCTTACGTTCTGCACGTTATGCCGTAATTCAAGTATATCTTCAACGATGTATTGTACGAAATCAGTTGATGTATTATGAAGATCAATGTCGTAATAATGTTATTTATGGAAACATTGTTCATGCGCAATCTACCACGTCTGAATGAAAGCTCACAGCCAATAGATCAAGGTCAAAGCGCATAGCAACAGCCCCTGCTTCATGCTGGTCGAAAATATTTCAAGGCTTTGTTCTACAAGGAATGTATGAACTTCCGTATTTGGTACCTAAACTAACGTCGTCAATTTTTTGCAGTAATAATTTGTAACACATTGAATCTGCGTTGTGTGCACTAGTGAGCTATTTTTTTCGGTCGTTGGCTACTTTTTATTAAAGTACCCGTTACCTACCGGCGCCTCATAATCTCCATCAGAACGCTGAAAAATTCAGTATTATTTTATTACAGATGTATCTTACGATTCACACTTACTTACACTTACAAAACACGACAGATTACAAAATGATCGCATTTAAAGAATTTACACCCCAATTATAGCACAAAATTCATGTTAAGAAAAAAAAATACTGACTGCAAATTTCAATTGCAATTAGTAACCTTCAATCGGTTAGAGTCGATAAAGGGTCCTAGTTATTGTGCATTATTACTAAATAGCAAAAAATAGCAAATATTAATTGTTGATTATAAATGTATTATGCTTTCCGTGACCATTTAATTGAAATAATTAATATGTTGTAAAATCTACTTCTTTATTTCAACCCGAAGATTGGTATTCCTTTGACCTTTTCCTTTCCGTGTTGTAGTATATAATATTCCTATACTATATTGTGTTGTATATTATTCTATATCCACTGAAATGAATGAAACATGTCTATGAGATGATGTAATATAGATCTATAAAAAATGTATTTAATGTTTTATTCTTTAGTTTTATTGATTTTTACGTAGTGTTTGTTTCTTTGCAACAAAAAGCCAAGTGTTAAAGTACGTGGTGGGGTTGCGTTGCAGACGCGGCCAACGGCGCTGCCGGCGGCGCCACCAGCTCCGAGGACGAAGGCGACGACGACTCCCAGGACTCCAGCCACCGCGAGGGCGCGCTCAACCTCGTAAGTGCTCGCTTTTGCTTAGCGGCGGTCTGGTTCTGTGCTTCGGAATGGGGCAATTGGACAGAGTCTTTAGCTACAATTCATCTTATCGTTCAGTAATGTTCCCTTTGTTTTCCTCAACATACACACATGATTCACATCTGTAACCCTTTGCTAGACATGAGGCAGGATATTACTTGACAGTCGTGGCCCTCCATCGTTTTGCATATGTTCGGCTAAACATTGAACGAGCTGTTCTTCAAAACCGTGCGAGGGCCCTTTTGATTATCTCTTATTTATTCCTTCATTTATTTAGTGTCAAAAATAGAGAAAAACCACCATCTGATGCTTGAGAAGGGAGAGAAAACTTAGTACTTTTAGTATTCGAAAGCGTAGAGTTTTCAGTGTTTACCCAATAAGACAACTGTAACTGGACAAAAACCTGATTGATTTGTGCAGGAAATATTCACTATTATTCATATATCACAAAGCAACTGGCTTGTACTAAGAGACCCAGATGCGATTCCTGGTCGGGGTGACTGATGATTTGAACAATTTACTCATTCACTGTTTTGTATGTATATTAATTAAACATGCCCCTATCTATACAGTTTGTGAGACAATATGAGATAAGGACACTTGAACATTTGTTCAGTTCTTTCGTTGCATTATCGTCTTGAGTATCGAGCTTTCGTCTATGAGATCACTGAAGCCTGCTAGTCACGTTCGCTATCATGAAGTGTTGCAAACATCCTGCACATATACGAGATCATTGTTTGAAAAATTTTGCTTGTTTTCGAGTCAGTCAGTTCAATTCAAGCAAACGAAATGTACGTAAGAGTTTGCTTAAAAGGTGGATGTTTCTAAAACGTAAAACTAATAATACCTTCCTCTTCAGACTCAATACTCCATGAATACAAAGTTAGGCTCTAGATACTCCCAATCATCCTATCAATAACTAAAATTTAAGTGTTTTTTTCAGTTGAGTTGGTTTTCTCGTAAATGAGCGCTACATGACGTTATCATTATCTCGCGGCCGCACCTCTTCCTCGGCCGCCCCGCGCGCCCGCCGCTCGTTCCCGGAGCCCCAGCTGCCCCCGCGATTAGGCCTCTCGCGGCCGTCCCCCGGTTTCTCATTTTCAGCGCCCGATCCCTATCTCGATGTATGTTTAACATCAGTGCACGCGCCGACGCCCTCATCCCCTGGGCGTTATATCCTCTCGCGCTCGCGCGCCCCTGCGCGCCCCCCATCGTCCTCCTCCCCCCTCCTTCCTCTCCCTTTCCCCCCTTTCCTCCTCCTCCTTCCGTGAGCCGCCGCTGCAGCCTCAATTTCGAATTTTTGCGGAGATTCATCGATTCGTCTCCGGTCTCTCCGCGTTTGCCACTGTGTTCGTTCCATCCCTTCTTTCTTTTGCCCCATCCGTCAGCATGCTGACGCTCTATCCGCATCCTTCCCCCTGATCCCGACTCCACAATTCACGCTAGTCGCTGTCTCCACCTACATTACGTCCTCCGGATATTATTATTGTTGCTATTTATTTTATTAATAATACGTCACATGCTGTGTCGGAGCTGGCTTATCCACCGGCTCATCTTTGCCGAGGTATGTTTTTGTTTCGTTTTCCGCAAACGTCTCATTCGCTCTTTCTCCCACTTCCTTCCTCACCCCAATCGTCCGACGCCCCCCCCCCCCCACAATTGCCTCAATTATCTCCATCGTACCCAACGCTCCCGTTGCCTATATCCTCGTGTTAGCCTTCGCCCCAGTTTCTGTATTCCACTGCGTCCATTCCTCACATTCGCTAACATCGCCTTCTCTGGTCCGCCGCCGAATCCTCTTGACTCCGCTCCGCTCCTCTCTCCCGCTTCTCTCCCCCGCTCTTTTGTGCGTCTCCGCGTCGGTCTCCGGGGCATGCGGGGCGGGTGGCTCTCTCAACAAGCCGTACATTAACGCGTTATTAATATGCCTCCACCTGGAGCCTCCGCGACGCCCGCGCCCCGCCAGCGATCCCTTGATCGATGATGAGGGCGAGGGCGCGGTGGGGCTGCCGCCGCAGTCACCCCTGTGGCCCAAACCGCCCCCTCCCTTTCGCCGCCGCCGCCACAAACTGTCACTACTACTTGCCTTGATGTCCGCGCCGCGAACCTTTGCCTGCTAAAGAGCCCCATGCACGCCCAGGAGAGGTTTACCAACCTCGCTTGTACATGCAGTAACGCATGTAAATGCGTTATGGACTATGGACATCGGTGACGGCTTCACGTCGGGCTCCTTCACGCTCACGGATTCGTTCTCTACTCGTTCAAATGGTATAATTATTATAATGGTTGCCCCGGTTTGAGAATCTCTATTCAAGTCCTCATAAGAATTTTGTCTGTGTGTGCTCTACTTTGAAATATTGATACACTGCATTTTCAGCTATTTTACAACTGGTTTTCAGACTGCCAGAATTTACGTTAAGACTCAGAATTTTTTTAAAAAAAGTGGAATGCCGTATTCCAATATTTCTCTAACGTAACCCTAGAGTTCGCGCGTGCACGGAGGCTTCGATGTCGGTGTTTAGCGTGTGCAATATCTTGCGAATTTCATGGCTGGTGAGAAGAGGGTGATGCTGGGCGTGGCGTGGCGGGAAGGGGTGGGTGGGAGTGGGGTGCATCGGGAAGAGGGAGCCGTGGCTGCTCGCGACAGACCGCCTAGAGCACGCTCCGAAAAGTAGGAATCAACAGCGCCGGACGCAGGCCACGGGCCGCGGACCGAAGCGTCGGGATCAGGGGGGAACCAGCCTATCATTTGGGAGGGGGCCATCATAGATTTTTGTTAAATAATAATTATTTGTTATTATGTTGTATATTATCGTTATACTGGGTATATGATACTGCGCAATATTATTTTTCCAATAATTAAATAATTCTATCATAAATAATATTTAAATCAATTTTGCCCAATAAAAAGGTAACAAACGAACATTGTTGGTCTTGGAGGGGGGAGCATGGATACGGTGTAATTTAAATTGGCATACAACTTTAAATGACAAGGAAAATAGTTTCTGTTGCATAACCGTATTTATACTATGTGGACACTATCAAAGCAGTATAAAAAAAAGAAAATTATATTTATTTTACTAAAATGATACCAACTCATTTTACTACATACCATTTATATTGTATAATTTGAAAAGTCTGTATATACCTGTCAAAATTCATATATTCAAAAATGTTTGAGTCAATTCTGATTAATAGGATTTGTATTTATCATACGGTAGTGTAACTATCTAGAAATGAAAATTATTACAGGATTATTTTGGGCTGTATGTCTTTCTTAAATCCATTACTTATATTTAGATTACATAATTTATTACTAGCACGTTTTCTAAATTTCAAAAACGAATTTAACCTGATAATAGAAGTGACATTTATTGTACCCTGAACGGCAGTGTATGCTCTATAAATAACATTACCGTTCGCTCAATACACCGCTCACGCAATATATTTAACAATTCTTCATACTTCCCCAGCTGGCCTCACGTACACATCAAATGGCTGTTGGCCGTAGGACACATGTCATTACGGTACCGCGCGTGTATTATTTTCCTGGTTGCATCTGTTCCCTGCGCGTCGCGACGCATAGTTTGCTGGGCGGGGGCAGGTTGGACGTGCTTCCGTGCGCGGCGGCCCTGGCATCGGGCCCGGCTAATGACCACGCCTCGCCGCCCACCCCCTCCTC